TAGTATGTCTTACATAATTATCCTACTGAGTATCGGTAACATTATTCAAAGCTTCTTAATATATTATGCCCATATTCCTCAACATATCTATCTAGGTGGAATTCTTTTCGTGGTAGATTTTGATGTACAACTTCTCAAATCTGATATTTTATACCATTGATTGGATAATTAATGTTCTTTTCCTGCAATAATTTTACCATTTTATCTTTTGTGCAACTATAACATGGAATTGGTTCCTCGTACCGCACATTATATTATCGATTATAATCAAAGAAGGATGTTCCAGATTAGGTATAAATTTCGTCTTAAACCATTTTTCAAAATTTTCTGTATTCATATTATTATGGTAATGCCCGCTTTTTGTTTGACTTTTAAGTATGAAGTCTGCATTTTTAATAAACTCTTCTTTATTGCCACCATGGATAGTTATGTATCGAATTACATCTCCTGTTTTTTACTTGCAGTAGCCATTTTTTCATCTTGCCAACTTTTTCTGTCACTTCCCTTGCTGTCTCATCCATAAATACAGGCTTAAAGTTACCCAGCTCTATCTTCTTGTTAAAATTTTTCAAAAACGACATTTTTTTTAATTTTTAATTAATTAATTTTTAATTGATTTGATGTTCATTCCAATAAAAACTATCTGTTGTTACTTCTTTTAAAGCGACAGCCAATTTTTCGAATTCATGTATTAATTGACCGTGCAGAACATTTCAATTCAGGCATTTCTCCCGAATATCGATTATGTAACGATTTTATTGTTACATGTTGCGCACCTTCGTATATCTTAAGGTACGTTTATATCTGACACTTCTTTCACGAAATAAATATAGAGTATCAGACACAAAATATCACTAACTGTTTACATCTTGACAGAAATTACTTGATATTAATGTCACTGACGTATGTAGCGAGATAACTAGACACTGCTTCGGAGAAATAAATGTATAAATCGTTTACATTAGTTCTGCCACATATTTCATGATGAAAGTTGCAACTAGTGTGGTTATTTTAAATATACTCAACCGCAAAATTGACTGGACAAATTTCTTTTTCCTCGTTTTCTAACTTTTTAAACAACGATGGTTTTTAAAGGTATGAAATAAAATTTTAGTTTATTTTGTAAAAAAAAAATTATAATCAAACATTTTTCTTTGAAATTATTTTTATTTAAATTTTTGTTATCGATATTTTTCTGAAAAACGTGGATTTTTGAACGTTAAGAACGTGGTACTTATAAACAGCTAATGACTGAGCTCAGTGTCGAAGAGCCAGCAGGACCAATAGTGAATTTGTAATAATTATGTTGTAGGGAAACATGTGCTCTTTTTTCCTACCGAAAGATGTTTATGTAAATTACTTCTAAATTTTATATCTGCTCGATTGTAAAGTATACAAATGCATTGCTTCTTGTGCGACCCTTCTAACAGTGTTCTATACCAATTTAGCCATACCGTAATTCAGGATGGTTAGGATAAATAATTATTAATTCTTCAACGTCACTTTTTTTGCGAGACATATTACGCGACACTAGAATCACAAAAGTAGACGACTATTCAACTTTCGCAATTTCTGTCAGGTAGGTCGGAACTTATAGATTAGATTTGATTAGATTAGATTAGGAGTTGGACGTTATTTGTCCTTGTCCACCGCGACTTTTTCAGATTTATTGTAGGACTCCGTTTGTTTTAGAGTGTCGTCTAGCCTGGTCTTTTTTATTAGACTTGGTAGCTTTGACAGTGGCTTCCGCAAGTAGTTGCATGCAATTGGCTTTTCTTTGCCCAATGTTAGAAACCTCATTCCAGCCAAGCCTTCACATTGGCACAGGACGTGGAATGATGTTTCCTCTTCTTCTTCACAGAACCTGCACAAAGTTGCTTCTTCTGCTGGATTTATGACACTCATGTGCCTTTTGAGGCGACAGTGTCCAGTAAGAAGGCCTACTGTTATCCTAACGATTTGACGTTTTTGATCCAGTAGGTCTTTCGTAAACTTGGCCGATGGTTCCTTGATGAACTGTTTGGCCTGTCTCAGTCTTGGATAGTTGTTCCACCATTCCTGAGACTCTTTGCATCCATTGTTTAATGGATGCCTTGCACAATGCCTTAGCAACTCCACAGAAGGGTTCAGGGCCTGTCATGGCCTTATCTGAGCCTTCTCGGGCTAGTTCGTCGGCGTTTTCGTTGCCCTGATATCCCTCATGGCCTGGAACCCAGGCTAAGGTCACCTTATTTTGACTACTTAGCTCTGTCAGGTCTTCTAGACAGTCTTTCACCAGTCGTGATTTGATTTCTGGTGAGAGAATTGCCTTTAGAGCTGCTTGGCTATCAGAGTATATGGCAATAGTTTTGCCTGATACTTGCTGATTTAATATTTCTCTTGCACAGTGTTGTATGGCTATTAGCTCAGCCTGGAACACTGTTGCATATTTTCCTAAGCTTAGTGAAATCGTTGATTTCGACTTAGGTCCATAGATTCCAGCACCGGCTCCTTCCTTGTTTTTTGAACCGTCTGTGTACCAGACGAGTTCAGCCTGTACGGGAGGTCCCTGTTTCCAGGATTCTCGGGCTGGTATTTGAATTTGAAAATTTCTTTCAAATTTGTATGTGGCTATGGCTCTATCAGTAGGCATAGCTAGAATATTATCCCTTTTTACTTGCTGATATAGCCTTGTGTGGTCGGCGCTATGTAGTTGGCTTATTGGGTTTTGTCCCTGCATTAGCCTGTGAATAGTTGACCTGGTTTCTCCTTGTATGAAGATGTGCAATGGCGTGAGATTTAGTAATACCTCCATTGCTGCGGTCGGCGTAGTGCGCATGGCCCCAGTAGCACTTAGACAGGCAAGCCGCTGAATGCTAGTGAGTTGGCCTATTGCACTTGCCTGCGCAGTTTTGGTTACCCAGGCCACTGCACCATAGGTTATCATGGGTCTTATTACCCTTGTGTATAACCATATGGTCATTTTGGGATTTAGACCCCAGTTTTTCCCACATATTCTTCTACAACTTACGAGAGCTATTGTAGCTTTATGTACATACATATTGTCGAACACTCATACATATATCTCTGACAGAAATTTTTGTGTGTTTATACTGGACAGGACTAAACAACTGTCAGACATAAATCTCGTGCAATAAATGTCAGATGTAAACGTACCTCTATAAATAACTTGCCTCAACTTACTAAATATTAAATAATTTACTTTTGTTTTACTTTGGCTTATTTTTTTAGACATTATTTTCACATGCTATGTATTAGAATTTGTTGGTTTACTAAGTCTATATATATGTTTCTGCCAAATATTTAATGCCTTTGCAGTCATTTGATTGTACCTCTTTCCAAGAGCCTCGCATATATATGTGTGTCTCTTAAAATAGGAAACTACCTTTGGGATTAAAGTTTTTGATTGATCACTAAATCGTTTCACTATTTTGATGAATACTTATAAAAACTTTTTAAATATCAAAATATACAAATTTTTAACTAATTCAAAATTATTTTGATAACTGCCACCTAACATAACATGATGTAATTAATCTACGACATGCCAAAATCTAGTAACTTTTTGTTTCATCCATTTTACATTTGAAGAAAGAAAGCGAATGGACTTGGGGTATTTCTGAGGCTTTAACTATTCTATCATCTTTGTTAACGTCTGTCCATATAGCTTTTCGTGTTTGACTTTTGAGGTTTAGGCAAGTGTCCGACGAAGCTTTGGTTTCGCGTTTTGGTTACGGTTTCGGCTAATTTCGGCCTAAAATAAAAGTTTTGGCTGTACTTTCGGTTTCGGCGGAAAACTGGCCGAAACTGCATAAACGGCAAAACAACAATGTCTCAGAAACAATTTCGAATAGATTTAGCATATTCCCTGTGTAAAATTAGAAGGAGTAACACTCCCAGATGTGGTCGACCTGCCAGGCGCTCAAATTAGAAGAAAATCTGCTACCCCTAGATCAACAACAGTTCGTACTGATGGACTTGAGCATTGGCCACAATTTGAAGAATAATGAAATAGATGCAAATATGATAGCTGTAAAGCATTTACCAATGTCATCTGCAGGAAATGTAGACTGAATTTTTGTATAATCAAAGAGAAATTTATTTTTTGAGTTTCATCGTGAAAACTAAGAGATTATTTCGCAGTGTTATTTGAAACATAAAAAAATTTTGAATAGTACTTTGTTGAGTTTTTAGTCTCATATTTATATTCCCTCGAAGCATAATGTATCATATTTGATAACATTTTTTTTTTATTTTAATTTTGACAAAAAAGTAATCATAATTTTTTAAACAATTTTCGCTGTTTAAAAGTAGAGTCAGATCAGCTACCCTGAATTTTTAAATTTTTTTTGCGATTTTCTAAAATTCATGCAGTTAAGGGTTAAGAGCTGTTAAATGTAAAAGAACCGGCCACGCCTATTATTATTTGATTATGCTTAAACGACAGTAAAAGTACCCGAAATGTCGCTGTCAACTGTATTCATCATTTAAATTTAGTTAATCATGATTACCTAGGACTAAAAGTACCGGCCCTTAATCTGTTTCCTTCGGGTTTCTTTCATATAGTCCCTAATTCGCTTGTTTATAGAAGCCTAGACAGAACTGCCTGTTTTTAGTATTCCATCTCCTATATAATTAATAAAAGCCTTTCTTCTTACATTAGCTATATCTAAATTTCTTTAAGTCTTCTAATAATAAATAAATATTCTTTGTGAGTGTTCATTATTATATAAAATTTTATATGATCGTTTTATGTTCTGCTGATATTCATTTTTGCATTTTTGATGTTATGTTTAATAAAACTCCATTTTAATATTTCCTTTGACCATATCTGGACCAACACTTTTATTTTTATACCAGAGCTACGTCGCAATAGTTAATAAAATCTTAAAATTAAAAAATAAAAATTTCTCCCGTTTTTTTGGTCCTTTATATTTAATAATTGATCCATTATTATTTAATATTAAACTTTTAATTGAAATAACATTTTTTCTTTTCAGTTGCCGAAGGTGACACTGTGGCTTCTCATCAGGGATATCACATCCAATATGTTGAACCAGAAATATACGCTACGCAAACGAATGGCGGGCAGACACAAATGTAAGCACAAAATATTTATTTGTTAACAATATAAATCGTATACCATCTTCAGTCTGCTTTGATGCAGAAAATGCTTGGTGTTACTGCTTCATTTTTATCGAGATTGTCTTAAATTTTCAAATTAAAAATTCAGAATTAGATAAGGCTTTAATAGTGTGTCTATGATTCAACGGAGCGTTAAGAGATTAATGTCAAAGCCTCTTTTAAGAAATTGAAGCACTTACCAATATCTATGTTTTAATAAGATAACTAAAATATTGAAGAACAAAACAATAAATCTAGAAAAGTGTGTGTATATCGGCCATAAATACAAATTATAGATTTATATCAGTCCACTATTGTCTCAATGAACCAATTTTTTGGTCAAAAGTCAAAATCAGATTTAACACTTTCGCTGCCAACTACACGCTCTGACCCATCGGTATACGAAGATTTAGAAGTTTGGACGTTCATTAACGGCATGGGCTATACACAATGAAAATATAAAATATTTACTCTAGGGAATAGCTATTATGTATACAAGGTGATTATAAATATGGACAGAAGTTAACACAAAAAGAGAAAAGAATATAGACCTCTACAGGATGTCAAAGAAGTATATAACCGGGCAGATGGCTGAAGGTGTACCTATATATTCATTTATCGATCAAGGTAGTCAAGCACTTTATGAATGGGTGTGGAATAAATGAGGAATTAATAAATCAGAAAAAGTAGGGTATCCAAATGGTGGTACAATTGGCCAATGAAGCTTCAGTGCCACCATGTCAAAATCTTGTAGGGAAGGCTGGACCATTCAAGGCGGGGAGTCAAAAACAATCAAGAGTAGTTTAAAAGGATGCCTGAAAGGATGAAAAAAAAAACGTAAAATCTTCGTCGTAGTTCTATACAAGTTGTCCAATTAGTGCACAATTGCTTGATATTTCATTTTGTGGTATAGACACATGTTTTGAATAAAAGTTATGTGGATTTGAAAAATATATAATTTAAAAATAAATTTGAATATACAAGGTGTTACGCTTTTGCCTGGAAAGTAAAAATATATGTTTTTAAATGGAACACCCTGTATTTTATTTCAGTTTTAGAGTGGCATGGTAATACTAGAACATTTTTTAACTTAAAAGGACCAAGCTGTGATGAAAACTGGTTCATCTTATACAGTGTTTTAATTATACAGGTGTCCCATCAGTGGGTAATTGATTGATAGCTATTTTATTATTAGAGATATGATTCCCAAACGAAGTTTTTTTGGTTTGACGGTTTTACCATGAAAATTTACATAATTTTTTCACATTTTTCTAATTGGCTTTTGAAAATATAGACTTATTTATGGTAAAATGCTAATGTAACTTTTGGTAACCCATTTGTCAGAATTAATTAATGGTTTTATATTCCTTCGACGTTACATAAGTAATATGAACCATTGTAAATAAAATTAAAAAATCACTTTTGGCTTAAGAATGCCAAACAAAATAAAAAGTAAAGAAACTAAATTATTAGTTAATTAAACTTATGGTGTAACATACAGGGTATTTCATTTGAAAAAAAAAATAAGAAAACTGTAATCTTACGTTTTGACACAACCTGTATACAACGTAGCAAATGAATGGAAAGTCAAAACATTTTTAGAAACAACCTGTATACAACGTAGCAAATGAATGGAAAGTCAAAACATTTTTAGAAACGTTAAGTCTATTAAAATTGTTTGACGATGTGAAAACAAATAAATTTGTTATGTTTTATTATAAAACAGTATGAGTTTTTCCACCACTCATTTATGAACTTTCCTGTATATTTAAGAATAATTGTAAAATATGGTCGTATAACTTAAAAATGTCTTCGTATCTTCAATAATAAAACATCAATAATAAAACATCAATTGCACACTCTTGTATAATAGGCTAACATGATGGTATTGTTAGATAGGTAAATTTATAATGTATTTGATACTAAAATGATATGCAGGGTGTTGCACTCAAAGTGAGTAAACTGAAGTTAAAATGAGTCATATTTATGACATGTTTCAAAACCATTTGTATAAAATAAACTATTTCTATCATGTCTATTCGTTAGTTTGGTATCTTACTAAGCCTAAATAATGTTCAACTCAGCTACTTAAATTCTGATAATTTTATTTGGGGTCTATATCATTTGAGAATATCACAATAAATGATTTGCTTGGCAACCCTGTAATATTTTTAAAAATATTCTAGGGTTCAATACAGTATTACATAACAATTTTAAATCTTAGATGAAATACATTGTTCTATTCAACAAATATATTTTTTTACTTTCCAGGCAAAAGTGTAACGCACTGCGTATATCCAAAAATATTTTTATATTATGTGTTTTTCAAATTCATATAACTTCGATTAAAGACTTGTTTGCGTGTCTATGCCACAAATTGAAATATTGGGGTCATCCATAAATTACGTCACACGTTAAGAAGGGGGGAGGGGGTCGACGAAGTTTGACATTTGAGGGGTCTTACAATTCGTGACGTTACATGTGTAAAAAAAACTTTGTAAAAATAATACCGACTTAGCATCAGCTCTAAAACTTCCAGATACTGTTGGTCGGCGTAGAGTAGAAGAAAACCAATCCGGTATACTTGAAGTCATAAAGGATATTGCATTTTTTGGTAGCCCGCTGATGAACGATGTCGCACTGAAACTATAAGGTGCTGCAAAAATTTGACGATTTACAAGCCGAACTTTGTAAACAGGGATATACTATCAGTCGATCAGGGTTATACTTCAGACTTCTTATAAATTCATAAATTTATTCCTTCTGTTTATGCAGGTATTGTAAAAGAAAGATGGTGAAGGGAAACCTGAAGCTGTGACACACTCTGGGCCTACATACGTAGCAATTCGTAGTGGAAAGCATTCTTCCTCTAATGCAGATACTCATGCCACAGACATACATAGACTTTCTGAAACACCTGCTTTCAAAAACTTTATGAAAACTCGGGAGGGTTTTGTAAAACCCGTATTTATTTTTACTTGCGATGGTGGTCCCGACGAAAATCCACGATAAAAGCGAGTTATAGTTTCAGCTATACAACATTTTAAATAATTTGACTTGGATACTATTTACATTACCACAAATGCTCAAGGAAGAAATGCTTTCAACAGAGTGGAACGACGAATGGCGCCTCTTAGTCGCGAACTTACTGGTGTTCTATTAAAACATGACAATTTTAGTTTACATCTCGATTCCAGTAATTGAACTACTGACTTGGAGTTAGAAAAACAAAATTTTGAGAGGCATTGTGCTGGCTAATATTTGAAGCCAATTGGTCATTGATGATGTTCCTGTGGTTGCCGAATACATTGTGCCATCAGATACTAGATTGGATATCGAATAGGCTAAGGTATTGAAAAATGATGCGACTTTGTTCGCACATCATATGCATGATTGACAATATTTATTATAAATAGTAAAATACGAGGTTGTCCCTTGTTGTGATGTGCGACAATCTAGCCTTTGGGGCCTATTACGAGAGGGGTTTTTACCACCACCTATTTTAGTTAAACAGACGTCAAACGGGTATGTAACCATAGAAAAAGATGACTCTGAAGCTAAATTGGCTCCACTGTTACTTCTGCTATCTTTGGATCTCCGAGCATCACATTTAAAGCAAGTTCCGTATGATAGCTATTGTTCCAGTGCCGAGACATACTTGTTTAAGCGATTATGTGGCATTGTGGTGTATATTTTGCGTCATACAAAACCACTAACGAACAAAAGCAATCACATAAGAGGCAACAAGAATTTTTGCCCATCGCGAAGATTTATCCTCAAAGAATTGCTGCTAGACGTGCCAGAGAAATTCTTTTTTTGAATAACGATGATGCCATTTGGTTGGATGAAAAAGATGATGACACAACTTATGTTCCTGGCAATAACAGCCCATACGAGACCGAAGTGACTGCTATGCAAGTTGTAATTAATTTAAAGGAGTGGGTTCAAAGTCCATGTACTCAAGATGAACAATTTTGAATATTTCAATGATATAAATAATTGTTTTTTGTTTTGTTAATTTTTTCAAATGTTTGACTTCATGTTGATTTTATTAAAAATAATTTAAATGAAAGTAAAACTAATTTCAGAGAGAGACGCATGGAGCAAAGGGGAAAACAGGCGTTGTACACGGACGGCTCCAAAACTGAAAAAGGGTAGGAGCGGGAGTTTTCGGCCAGAGGCATAGAGTTGACATACCTATAAACCTAGGCTCTCTGGCCACGATCTTCCAAGCAAAAATAATTGCTATAGAATTGGGAGCGAAAGAGTTGAGTAATTTTCTCCCCACAAACAAGACTATAAAGATCTTTTCAGATAGCCAGGCAGCCCTTAAGGCCCTGAGCTCCAATCGAGTTGACTCAAAGCTGGTTTGGAACTGTATAAATCAAATACCCTTGAATATCTCGGTGCCCGGAACAAAATTACTTTGATCTGGGTTCCGGGACACAGTGGTGTGGAGGGCAAAGAGGAACCGAATCTGTGTTTATAGGACCAGAACCATTCTTGGGCATTTCAAAGAGCACTGCCAAAGGAATTATCTCAAAATGGACGGAGGGTGCAACACATTCGAAGGCGTTTATAACCAACCCTTCTATGAACGCCTCTGCTCAGATCCGAGAATGGAGTAGGAAAGATCTACGCATTTTCACTGGACTGATGACAGGACACTGCCGTCTGGGCAACCACATGAGAAGGATAGGTCTGCAACAAACATCGGACAGTCGATTCTGCAGCGTTGAGGACGAGTCTGCAGATCACATTCTATGTACCTGCTCCGCTCTGGAAAGAACCAGGTTCCAGATCTTCGGATTTACCCGACTGGAGCCTACCGACTTTAAACAAGTCTCACCCAATTCAACCATAACCTTCATCAAAAGGTGTGGCTTGTACGGAGAACTATAAGTTAGTCGTGAAACACAATAGACCCATCTGGGTCGTAGTGGAAGGCGATGAGATCATCCCACTCATTTTCAACCTAACTTAACCTAAAACTAATTTCGGAACTGCTGTTTTTATTCAATAATTTCTAGATGTAAAATTGCAAAATATGTGACGTCACACTAGGGAGGGGGGAGTCTCACAAATGTGACCAGCTGTGACTAGGACGGGGAGGGATTAAAAAAATCATAAAATTCATGTGAGGTAATTTATGGATGGCCCCTATCGAGCAATTACGTACATCATTTAATTAGAACCTGTTAAAGCCTTGCTATGTTAAATTCACAAACATAATATCAAAACCAAATTCATAATGCACTAATTTAAGAAAGCTTTCATATTCCTACGGGGTTATAAAGGCAATTCACTGCATGGCGGCTTGTCTATATACATTTTCAAATGACGTTACAAAACGTCATGGGCATGGGGGAAAGAACTATCATGACGTTAATGAACGTCATGGGCAGCGAAAGTGTTAAAAAAGAAAAGTAATGGTATCAATGGAGTATATTAACACTATAACACTTTGTGGGTCATTTAAAACTAGATTTTAAATAATACATACCTTTTTTCCAATAATATATTTGGTAATTCAAAAAAATAAAAGGAAAATTACATTTCCATATCTAACTTAAGTGAGTCCAACATCGTTTCTTCGTCTTCGTCATAATCTAATCGTCCTCTATAATTTCTTCTATAAGTCTGGTTATTGTTTCAAAAGGTAAAAGCGACACTTAAATATAAATCCCAATTAGGATTCGTGAGCTCTGGACTATTTATTTTTAATATATCTTCTTAAAAATGAATTTACTTAGAGTTGAAAAAAATCACTATTGACCAAAAAATTCCTTCCAATAACCCATAGTGCCAATCATTTGATTAAATTTGTTTACAATTATTGACGTATAGAACATTTTTTTACGCATTCTTTTACCAAAAATATATTTCTAGGGCGTATCCGGTGTATACTGTTGGAGAATCAGCGACGCTCTATCCAATAGCTAATGCTGCACAAGCCCAGGGACAGTATTATGCTGCCACCAATTCCGGAGCTACTACTGTCACTGGCACCGTGGGTTACACTGCCACTGGAGGGCAGTACGTGGTGCAACATACTGTCGACGCTGAGTCACTTATATCTTCAAATAGGGTATCGCCACAGACGACAAGTGCGGTAAGTAAAAAAAAAGGACAGTTATAAAAAGTATGCATAAAGTTCATTGGTTCGATTTGTTATATAATATCCTTGTTGATCACTCTAGCAAAAAATATACCTACCATGTTTAAACGTATAAAGTATTAAGATTTTTCAATCAAATTGTATTTTTTGTTCAAACACTATTTCATTGGAATATCAATAAAAATTATATTATTCGGAAAAGTACCTTAAGACCCAACTCAACTTTTTTCACGATATAATCACGATTTTTTTAGGTTAGAATACTTCGCATTATTTGAAGTAATACAAGACGTCACTTTCAATTTCTATCTTATAATGTCAGCAAATACGTAACACGATGAGTTTAATAAAACGTATGTCTGTAATTAGCACGATTCCAAAAGTCTGGTCATCACCACCTTAGATGGCGCTTCCTCAACGACAGTACATTTTTAAATCTTAACAAACGTCTCCTGAAGTAATTAAGGAAAAATAACTTTTTTTGCGTTTCAAGTTTTTAAATATAAAAAAATTGGAAAGTCCATAACTTTTAAATATTTGTAAAATATACTTATTTCAATATTATTTATCAAAAGTAAAACAAATGATGGACCTTTCAATATTCTTTATATTATTTAAAACCTAAACCGCCTAATTACTTCAGGTAACGTTTGTTTGAAAAACCGCTGTCACTTGTCATTGACAACGCGTTGACATTGGCTTTAAAAATTTAAGACTGATATCTACATAACGTAAACACATTATTTCAAAATAATCACCGTATATTTTTTTTGAGATGTACTTAAAAATATTTGTGATTATAAAACATTGAAGATTAGACAACGTTAAATCTAATTTTGAGTGATCACCTTTGATATTTTCTTTTGGAATATTGGAAAAATACACCGTAAGGCCTAAAAGTCTGCTCCTTCTATTTTCATCTCGGGAATTATGTGTCTTCCTATTATTATTAGGCTTCATCAGGTGACCTAGCAATGAAACAACTGTTACTCTGTTTGTTACAATATAAATCAACATAACTTGAATCTATAAATAATGGTAAAAAAAATATTTCTAAAGTAGGTCATGGAAAAATCACTCATGTCGGAGTTTATTCTTCTTTTTTTAAATGACATTTTGGATTGCGTTCAGATATGGTTATCACAACAATGTCTTTGTCGGTCCTGACCTTTTTTAGAAACATTTTTTTTATCACACGTTATAAAAAACAAATGATTTACAGATAGGATTCTTTAAGATTCTGTGACATTCCTAATTATTATTTTTTCACCACTTAATTAATTGACTTAATTCTTTCCAAATCAGAAAGAGGAGAGACTTTTGTTTCTTACTGTATTCAAGCAAAGGAATTTCGGAAAAATAAAATAATTAAAATAAATTTAAAGTAACTCAAAATACCTAGTCAGTAGCAAGTCATTTTCTTTTGAATTAGAGTACTAGTCGTTATTCTTCTGACAACTAATGGATTAATTTAGATATACATGTCCCATTTAAAATATTAATCTGTTTATAAAAATAGAAAAAAGCGGGTGTTTATAAATTTAAAAGTCAAAATGGTTTTCGGGATACCTATGAGCAGCAAATATTTTCGATGGGACACTACAGTATTCTAAACGAATTTTAGACTTATTTTCTTGCAACTGAAAAACAATCAAACCTTAGATTTATTTTATTTTAGTGTCTATGCATGCTATTTACCTAAAATATTGGGTATTTGATTTACTATTTGAATTTTGGTATTGTTTTTATTTGCTGTCCTGTAAACTTTAAAATTTTGACAATAAAATATTCCAAACAGTTTTCTATATCAGAAATTTTTGGAAAATCAAATCATATAATAATATGAATGCATACATTTGTAATAATCATAATCGCTCAATAGTTTTATTTTAGTTTATCTGTATACATTTATAAATTGATTTAATCGTTAACATTAATAATAGAAGGTATTTATTTACCTATTTAATTAAAGAAAACATGTAGATAAAAGTCAGTAAACAGCAAATTGTAACTGTCGAAAACACCAACTTAGAAAAGAAAAAATGGTCTAATCGGACTAAAAATAAAGGCTCAGAAGGAATTATAAATGTTCGGTTTGCTCTTAATACAAATAAAGAAGGTCTTCTAATTTTTTTTTGATACGGTTAATAGTTTAAAAGATTTGAACTTTTAAGTTTAAAAAATCATTATTTTGATGAATTTTAAGTTTACTTTTATTGTTAAAAATAATTAAGTTTTTGTGGTAGCTACAGATTTTAAATGCTTTCTTTTTTATTTTATTGAATGATAATACAATAATTTCTAAAAGTAGCTCGAAAACATAAAACTAAAGAATAAACTCTTTAAATTCTACAATTTTAACTATTTACATTTAAGTTAATAAAATTTATTCATATTAAATAATGATTTCTAACGGTCAAAGCATTTTGACTGTGTCAGAATTTGTGCAACAAAATGGTTTTGAGTTCCACATTCATCTTCTGTGGATCATTCATATTTTGGAATGTATTAGTTTTACACGAAGCAGGCCTGAACCCCACTGGATGAACAAGCAACTCATTTTTTTGTCATTTACACCTATTGGCGCTTCCATTCTGGTACACAGTTTATACTGTAATCGTGAAGCGTACAAATAAAAAAAATCAATTTTTATTACAGTCCGGTCTTCTTTTCAAATTATAAAACATATATGGCGTTTCATTAATAATTATTCATATGCTAACTGGAGGCTCCATGATACAAAATATGAGTATTAACCTATGTTGTGTTATGTTGGAAATGGGGTGTTAATACACAGCGACCTTAAAGATCTGTTGTGGCCCCTTCTGTCGCTAATGCAGCAAGGAAATATCTTGATGCCTATAATGACCCTTCAAATCCAATCTTCTCAAGGAAGTGTAAAATTTGCAGTGGCTTCAAATTAGGTAAATCTCCCTCGTCTATTTGATATGCTCCTAAGTATTGTGCCCTTGGATTCTGAAGTACTACACATTTAATCAGAATGTGAATGGAGATTTCGTCCACCTCCTCACAGAATCTACACTCACTATTTTCTACTACCCTCAGTTTACTGAGGTGTCCTTTGAGTCGGCAATGTCTGGTAAGGATTCCTGTTACAATGCGTTACAATGCTCAGGCAGATACAGGCTTCCGATCTTTTCTGATTATATTCACCCAAAAGTATCTGTTGTAGCCCCAATTATTGGTTCTTCTACTACCCAGTTCTTTTTTAATCTCTTCCAGTATCGTTTTACTGCTGATATCGCAGAATGGGTTTGAAACCCTTTCCTTTCGTTACCGTTTTCCTGGTTATATTCCGGGACCCAAGTGAGAGTAAATGTATTTTCCTCGCCTAGCTCATTCCGTTTTTTTATGCATCTCTAGACTATTTTTGAGCTGATTACCTAAGAACTTTGATGACTGCTTGGCTATCGGACATGATGGTAATCTCTTGTTCACGATAATTTCTCTCGATGTTAAACTGGATACACTTCTTAATGGTGTGAATTTCCGCCTGAAAGATGCTTGGGTATTTTCCCAAACTTTCAGAGTGCCTGGTTCTAGCCCCATACACTCGTATTCCAGTTCCTTCCATGGTTTTTGAACCATTCGTATACCATTGTTTCTGCATACCATTAGGGCAGAATGTAACCTAAAACTTTTTTTATGTATGTTATAACACTTTAAATTACTCGTATCACTTTAAATTATTGCAGAAGACAGTTTCCTGCTATTACCAGGGGCGTAGGGTACTGAAAGACACTTATTTTTCCCTCTACATTCTACGCTACTGTCGTAATAGTTTCTATAGAGTCAGTGGTTTTCAATATATTTGCGCTCAAGTTACCTTTAATAGTTGAGTTTACTACTATTACGCACTTGTTAACAGCGGGAAACTGTCTTCTACAATAATTTAAAAAGTGTGCAAAAGTCTTACATGTTCATCAGGAATAATTTATCTAAATGTTTGAGATAAAAATCTTCACATTTTTGGTTCAAGCATTCTCCAGTTATAATATGAACAATTACTAATGAACAATGTATATAAAATAGTTGAGTGATATATTAGCGGCAAACAGTTGTTGCATGATTTAATTTTCAAACATGTTTTTTATTATATTGTGAATTTTGAAGTATTACATACAGGAGAGTAAATTAAAAATAATAATTAAAACCTGGAAGGCTTTCTACTAACAATGAATGTATGCTTTTTCTCCTAACTCCTAACTGATCCGGGTGGTGCAGGAGACGAGTTACGTTGCTACAGCGACCGTGCATGCTTCTCAGCCTTCGGGACAGGTAGTATCGGGTGAAGATGTAGGATCCGCCCTCGGGCACGCCACTAGGGTGTCTCCGACCACTGTAAGTCCCACACAGTATTTCCCTTTTAACACTATTTCCAATCTATTTGCGTACAGTTGAATTTTTTTTAAAGATATTTATAGGATATAAGAATGTTGTAATAAATATCAAATAGTATCATTGAAATCTCATAGTGGTCCGAAGTAGATTGGTGAAGAAACACAGTCTGTCAACCACTGATTTTAATACATAAATTATTTTTCGCTAGCGTTTTCCACTCTATGGGGTCATCATCAGGCATAAAGTAACAATGTAGTTAATCTTCAATGTATACAATGTGTGATGTATATTATAAATGTTAAGTGTTTGTGTCTTACTACTAGAGTTTGAAGAAATCCATGTGACTTGGTATGATAAAATTATTTTTAAAAATTATTAGGAAAATTCCACACCTGTAATTTTGAACCAATCAAAATACGTGTTTTTGACAGATCACCATGGCAACGGAGGTATTTTAGTGGAAATTTTTTTCTCGTGGGGTACCCAACAGCGAATTATACTGGAAATTTTTTGACGTTTACAATAACAGACCATTTTTGACAGACTGGTTTTTATTTGTTCACATAATAGGTTTAGTTTTGATACATTTTAGTTACAATGCTAAGGTGTTTGTTTTCTATATTCTTCGGCCACTTCTTTTCTTCTTAATGGCGAAAATGCAGGACTTTGGATGCTTTGAATTATGTGTCTATGTCTAATAAAATATATATAATATTTAGACACTAATTTATTCACCTTTTTCCCATTCAGCACTTTGAATTTTGCGTAGTTTAGGTGCAAATATTCGTGGATAATTCGGAACAAATTTTCGTTTTTCAAGTTGGAGCCACAATCCTCTATTAATCCGAGTAAGTAAGTCATGGTGCAATGATTGATCATTACATCAGACAATTTCACGCATATTTTGCATAGCGTATGATTTTCAAATCGATTCATTTTTAAACAAATAGGTAATTTTGTTGGTTTTACTTGCTGTGCAATATTCTTTATCGCAACAAAACGCGAGTTATTTAATGTTTTGAACTGTCAAAATACAATGATCACAGCCTCCTACGATTGATGCTTGCTGACACTGGTTATGAATTTCATACCATTTTAAAGCGCTCATAACGCATGTTAATAAAAACGCAGAAAAACAATTTTCTACTTGGAGAAAATAATTTGCATTGTTGAGAAACGAAAAATAAATTTTAAAAATATTTAATTTTCAACCATAATTCGGCGTGGAATTTTCTTACCGAATACCACACGAGGTCAAATTAATATCAGGAAATTTTTTGACCTCTAGTGGTATTACTAGTGAAACTACAGTAGTCTCAACAAACACATACAGGATGATATGTCTATAACAGTGTTTCCCAAACTTTGCGCCTCGGACTCTTTACGAAATGTAAAATCTTCATTATTAATTGAACCAAGATATTTGGCAAACAAAAAACAAAGTGAAGATCTAAAAATATCTAGATTTTGTTTTTACTCGACCCTTTATAAAAGTAGAGACCGAAGAGAGAAAAATTAGTCACTTTCCTCTTCTTTCACGGCGGCACCGGCTATAAATGTTGAGGTGTGTAAACCGTAGACCATTCGCGACAGATTTGGAATGTCCAGAAGATCCTTCGGGAAGCATATAAGCAAGAGTTGCCGGCTTCATTCGGTCAGTCAGTTGATAATATATGTCTAGTGAAATTAAACTCAGCGCTTTATATGAAACAGTGATATAAATTAGTTGTATCTTTGATATGAATCGATTTTAGAACAGTAATAAAACAAAAGTAATAGTGTTGATCTGCAGATAAAGAAAGTATATCTTCAACCAGTGGCATGATTGTGAAGAAACGAAAATATCGTAAATGTGATGACGTTTTTGTTTTACGTCAACTGAAATTAATTGCTTCCAAGCAAATTGAAGCGCCATTTAGAAGCTAATCATAACAGGATTGTTGGCAAACCTGGTGATTTTTTTGCCAGAAAGTTAAAAAGAACTGAAGAAACAACAAAATTTATTTTTTAAGACTGCATCAATACCAAACACTTTGCCTAGCATCTTGCAAGGTGGCTTACAGAATCGCGAAATGTAAGAAGTCTCATACCATGGCAGAACTTATTCTACCGTCTGCTGTAGATGTGGTAAATATCAAGGTTGGTGAGTCTGCTTTTAAAATGCCTTTATCAATAACACAATTAGTCTGAAAATACAACATATGGCGGTGGATATAATCCATCAATTAATTGAAAAATTGGATTGCAGCTAGATGAGGCTACGGATAATAATAAAGATGGTTATTTGATATGCTATGTACGATTTATAGATCGTAATATGTTATGTTGGGAATAAGGTGTTATAACACTGCGACCTGAAAGATATATTGTGCCCCTTTCTGTAGCTAATGCAGCAAGGAAATGTATCGATGCCTGCACTCACTATCTTCTACTACTCTCAATTTACTGAGGTGTCCAGCAATGCCCAATAAGGATCCCTGTTACAATGCCTAGCCTGTTCTTACTCAGCTTCCGATCTTTCCTGTTATATTCACCCAGAAGTATCTTAGCCTGTCTTAGCCCCAAGAAATTGTTCGAATTATTGGGTTACTACTGATACCGCAGACCGACTCAGGTATCCTTTCCTTGCGAGACTATCTGCAATATCGTTACCCTTTACTCCGTTATCGCGGGACTCAAGTGAAAGTAATTATATTTTCCTCGCCTAGTTCATTCAGTTTTTCTAGGCATCTCGAGACCATTTTTGAGCTGATTATGTAAGAAAGCGCTTTGATGGCTGCTTGGCTATTAGACATGATGATAATCTCTTTTCTACGATATTTTCTCTCGATCGTAAACTGGATACATTTCTCAGTGACGTGAATTTCCGCCTGGAAGATGCTTGGATATTTTCCCAAACTTTCAGAGTGGCCTAAGTGCGTTGGTGTCTATACCCATGTCTGGCTGCTATGGAGAATAACAGGCACATTTGAAACAAATCACCAAATGCACTGTGGATCCATTGCAGTATTTATAGAGAAGTGCTTGTCAATAGGCAGTATAGGCCGCGGCAGCGGCCTAGGGGCGGCAGCGTCCTAGGGGCGGCAGCATCCTAGGAACGGCAGATTTCAGAGGACGCTCACTCGATTTCAGAGGAGCGAAAAGTTAAAAAAGTTACACACTGAACACTGCATATGTTATGAGCTTCTTTTGAATGATGGTGTTTAAAATTATTATATCAGTTATCACACATCCATTATGTTTACATACAAATGTAAATCCTACTTTCTCACTGATACACAATGCAAACGTTATAAATAAACAATAAAAATATAGTACTTACCTCTTACAATAAACAAGCAAATACTAACTACCAAGTCAACGACCATATAAAAGGACCGTATGCTAATTACAGCGTGCTTCCTGCTATGATAATAATTGATAAATTACATCATTTCAGGTCGATAGAAGCTTGATGTTTCTGCGCAGTCGCACTTTTATTAAGGTATATTATGTTTTGTAAAATATCTCCACAGCACTTATTATGTTTAGTTACAGCATAATATATGGTAATTTATATTACTATTATCCTGAAGTAATTATTAAAATACATGTCGAATCAGATAATTCGACCGATTACGTAATTAACACAGTAACATATATTGCATTACAGAATATATTATATGAGATATTTATTCCTATGTAAAGTTGCAATGAAACTGTAATTTTACCACTATATATTATGTAAGTTTACCATGTAAATAGTATTTACATTATCAGATGTGTTTAATATATTTACCTAATGTATTTGGTGAAGTTTACATAATAAATATTGAAAATTACAGATATTTTTTCAGTGTATCTCTTATGACTGAAAAATTATTAAAAGTAAAAATTGATTTAATTTTTTTTCTTTGCTATCTCTTTTAGCTTGTGAAATTTTATATTGATTTAAAATAATTAAAATTCAACTGTACCAGGTGCATTTAGACATACTTCGGTAAATATTTTATGCACGTTTGCAATTTCACCACATCAGTAATGAATATAATTAGACAATTTTCGAATAATTTATGAAATAGTTATGCTTCAACATGTGTCACACCATATGCCACCCTATTGTCTACGGACCAGAATTATTATTATTGAGTAAACATTATGCGAATTCCAGAAAATCTCTCAATGGCCAATATTTGATGATTTATTTGTAGTCTAATTTAGATTTTATGTAGAATTTTGTTTTATTTTTGGAATTTTTTTATTAACTATTCTTTTATTTTGAAAACCTTTATGATTGTACGAGACTGGGCCCAAAAATAATCGGCCTAGGCAAGAAAACAACTTTTTTTTGGCAAAACTCAATTTATTTCTCAACATAGTCCCCTTTAAGCTCTATACACTTTGTCCAACGATTCTCCAATTTTTCGATGCCCTTCGAATAATACGATTTCTCGAAGTCCTTAAAATAGGCCTCTGTCGCAGCGATGACCTCCCCATTCGACTCAAATCTCTTACCACTGAGCCATTTTTTCAAGTCTGGAAACAGATAATAGTCGCTGGGCGCCAAATCTGGGGAGTATCTCCGATGAGGAACCAATTCGTAACGCAATTCATACAGTTTTGCCATTGCGACTGCACATTTGTGCGCCGATGCGTTGTCCTGGTGGAAGAGCATTTTCTTCTTCGCTAAATGTGGTCGTTTTTGCTTCAAATCGTCGTCGAATAGGTCCAACAGCTTTGAGTAATAATCGCCGGTGATGGTTTTGCCCTTTTCAAGGTAATCGATTTGAATAATACCGTGCGCATCCCAAAAAACTGTGGCCATGACCTTGTTGGCAGACAGACCCACCTTGGCTTTCTTTGGCTTTGACTCGCCCAAAGAAACCCACTGCTTTGACTGTTCCTTCGTCTCTGGCGTATTGTGATGAATCCATGTTTCATCCACGGTTACAAAACGGCGCAAAAAGTCCTTCTTATTGTGGTTAAACATTGCCAAATACTCCTTTGAAGTTGTCACACGGTTTCGCTTGTTGTCGGCATTCAGCAAACGCGGCACCCATCTGGCAGCGAGCCTCGTCATTCCCAAATATTCGTGCAATATATTCTCCACTCATTCACGTGAGATGCCCACAGCCTCAGCAATCTCACACACTCTTACCCGTCAATCGTCAATTACCATACCATGGATTTTATCGACCACTTCTGGTGTGGTGACCTCTCTTGGACGGCCTGGACGCTTATCATCAAAAATTATCGTACGACCGCGTTTAAATTCGGCAGTCCAATATTTTATTGTTGATAACGAAGGTGCAGAGTCCCCATACACATCATCCAGTTCGGTTTTGATCTCATCGTTCGTTTTCTTTTTTAAAAACAAGAATCTAATCACTGCGCGATATTCGATTTTATTCATTTTTGTAAAAATGCAAAATCTGTTTGCCTTCAATCACTGTCAAGTACAAACTAAGTGACGTAACTCGCTGAAAATTTGACAGAAGTCACTTGAAAGATAGTTTTTACGAAAAACAATTGCATTTGTTCCTAGCGCCGCCAACTCTTGCCGAGGACGATTATTTCTCAGCCCAGCCTTAAAACAAACACAATATTCATTTTGAGATCGGGAAATGATTTATCTTTGTAAAACATTTCATTGATCTGGAAGCAAAATATAAGAGCGTTGTAGTATAGATTTTGAGTTTTTATTGATCTCTATTGAAAGTACTAATAAGTTGTTTGTACAATCTATGAGATGAAGCACTTGTTGATTCTCTCTCTGTAATATACGAAGGAGTACTAGAGGTAGCATATGGCGACTACTGCAACTTTTGAAGCAGCAATTGTTACTCTTGTTCAATATGCATAAAATATTTTCCAGGTCCGTTTCTTTAATGTAAAAATATTTTCATTGTATCTAATATTTAAATTAAAATAAGTAATATCTACTAGCTTATACAGTTTTTATAAACAAAAATGCCATACAACTACCTTTCTAACATTGCTGTAATAGAATTTTTCAAATAATGCAGTAGAAACTTTCAACATAATATAAATAGATTAATATGCTCAGATGATAAAGATTTAGAATACAAGCTCTTAAAAAGCCCTTTAAAACTGCTTTTAATATTTTTATCAAGAAACGTCTACAAAAACCAATAAATTTTCAAATAAATAATATGTTCTAATAAAAACATTATTTAATGAAACAAAGAGAACTGTTTGATTTTGAATTAAACTGTAATTGTATATGGCTTATTTGCTTATAACGGAAATGTATTTAGATATTTATGTAGAATGCTTGGTATTGATGGTAGTTATATGAAAGGGCAGTTAGTAATTAGAGTATTCTTCTAAATTAATATACTTACTAAATTTAAGAAAGTTGTTGGAATGAAACTGAATATGTATAATTTCTTTCCAGTAATGAGTGCCAAAATTTCACTCCTCCAATTTAATATTTTGTAGTTCCAAAATCCAATTCCAATTGATTTCTTTTAGTAGAATGTAATCCTAAAAACTCGTCTACCGTTTGGACCTTCTCTAGCTTTCATTCTAATATTGGGTCCTATGATTGAACGTTTACGTTATCCGTAACGTACATGTTAGGCCGAATTTTAAAAGTAACGAGGCAAGTTCGTATGATGGAAACCTGTTAAATTAGAACATAACAGGCGGAAAATAACAGTAATGTGTTATTAAAGACTTTACATCATACGAATTTGTCTCTTTGCTGTTAAAACTCGGCCTAACATGTACGTTACGGATAACGTAAACGTTCAATCATACCACCCATTATAATTCTATACTATAAGTTTTTAAAAGAGCATATATATTACACGTTTTTTTTTGTGGTCGAGTTCAAACAATCACTGTCCCCCATTCGATTCTCTAACACTTATTCTGGTTCTTTATTATTAAATTTCCTAATATATTTTTTAAGGCAGTGTTTTACCGTGTTTATTTTGTATTGTTTATCTTCTACTTCATTGTCTTATGAATCCAACACCTATAACTTATATTCTGGTCCGGATGGCACTCTTCTGGTCACCTTTTTTTATTTCCTTCAATCATAATTATGACAATTTTAAATGATTGGTTAAAACTAAAGGAAATATGAAAATTAAAAACTTCTTAATATTACAAATTATTTTATTGAAGATAATTATTTTATTATAGCTCTACATTTTCAAAATTCAGAGTGTATTTTATTTAATATTTTTTTGCGATTGCAGCTTCAATTTGGATTCCTAAAATATAATGAGATGGAAATGGAATGATTTTTTGGCCTCGCAGTATTCAAAATGATATTAAAAAATCTGATGACTTTCTTAATTTTTGTAAAAAATAATTATTGTTTCAACAATCCAATTAGAAATAAATGTTTTTTGATATTCAATAGTTAAGTAAAGATAATGTATTATATTTTTTGTTCTCTATAATAAGGTCCAATGGTTGTTGGAAAACTACGAAACAGCAGAAGGAGTATCTCTACCTCGTTCAACTTTGTACGCTCACTACCTCAGACACTGTGCGGAAAACAAACTAGAACCTGTTAATGCAGCTTCGTTTGGAAAACTCATCCGTTCAGTGTTTTTAGGACTTAGAACTCGTAGATTAGGAACCAGGTAAATGTATAAGTTTCTAATGAAATATATATTTCAAAGAATCATTCACATTCAATAAAAGGAACTAACTTATTCTCAACCAAAATATACGCAGAAAAACGTGGTTTTAGGTAATAGCAACCAAATCTTATTTAATCTTGGAAAATTGTGGTCAATGATTATTAAAAGGTCATTACAAATTAGCACATATACATAATAGCAAACGTTTTTGCATTATATATGAGAGTGTTTCTAAAATATTTATTTATTTTCAGAGGAAATTCAAAATACCACTACTATGGAATTAGAGTCAAACCAGGCTCTTCTCTAATGAATCTGGAAGATCAAAATAGCAGAGTAGTCTTGAATTCAAGCAACACAAATGGCAAAGCTCAGGGAACAGTCAGACCTTTCAAACGAAGTTCGGACGCTTCTGATTCTGTCATTGGATCAGCATTATCCCAACATGTTGCATATTTAGGTATTTATTACTTTAAACGGCTATACATAAACTACAATAAATTACATTCAAACTTTCTTTTTGTAAAAGCTATACCAGCAAGCTTTTAAATAAGGCACTAGTGTGTATTTTAAGTATTTATTAAAATACGTTAACTACAACTTCTAGATGAAACATGAACAACATACAACCTGGATCTAACTATTGACAACTGACAGCTCACTGTCCACTATGGCTAATGTTACGTTGCCGTACTTAAACCATATTATACACTTTTCCCACCTTTAATAAATTACATATTGTTGAAAATCTATTACTTCCAATCAAAAAATCTAGATTCTAGTATAAATAATTATAATATTGGTTGATCAAAAGCTTTAATATAAGTTCTGCCAAATTTAATTGGTCATCTCAACCCGGGACGGTGGTGTAGCGGTCTATCGCGCTTATGTTCATTTATAGGCAAGTTTATGAGTCTGAGACTGCTGGGTTTCGAATCCCAGACCGGACCATGTGGATTTTTAATTAAATTGCATGGTTCGGTTTAGGATTTGATGTGTGGCGTATTAATAGAAATTCAATTTCTGTTGATATGACATGCAGATTAAAAAAATTCGCCATACATTACCGTCTCGATGATGGTGGGTGAGGTTTTCCGGGTTTTCCTCACCTGAAAGTCAAATGGCACCATCAATCATCTTTAAGTCGCCCCGGAGCGCTACGGCAAATAATAATAATAGCCGTCCCTTCCCCTACACAAGTCGTTCAGTCGACTTCAGGGGTTGAAATTCACTCGTAAGGGGGTGAATTAGGGAGAGTATTATTATTATTATTATTATTATTAGGTTTATAAATCACATATTAAGTCAATGGCGGTATTAAGAAGTCGGCGAAAATTCGATAATTTAGCGGTTGTATAATACGGCATTAATGACGGAATATGATTTGTCTTCTGCAGAGTTAGAATTTTTTTTCAATGTAGCTGGAGATTACCAAAAAGTTAAAAGAAATCCTGGAATCTCCTATATGCACTTTGTTTAATATTTATTTTTTCGTTTAGGTGACGGTAGCACTGCTATTCCAGCTTTTCCAGATATTCAGTTTAATGAACCTTTACCAGAAGATTGTGGTTATGAAGATGTAGATACTTTGAAGTCGATTTACAGAGAACATTTAGAAGCTTTTTTGGATGCCATTTTGAGCTTAGAGTTTTCCACTGTTGAGTCACTATGGAGAGAATTTTGGAGGTAAAAAAACGGTTGAAATTATTAATTTTCTTCTAAACTTCTTAACAAGAACTTTCAATCACTATTTGTACACTACAAGAAATTGATAAAAATAAAAATACATAATATCGTTTCAACCAATGATCCAGTCAATGAACGTTTAACAGGGGGTGTAGAGGGTTTGGGATATGGGAATATTTTTTTCTTCGGGATGTGTTTGGAAAAATTAATAAAAATCATGTTATGGAAAATTTTATTAGCATACATTTGTCAAAGAATAATTTTTCCAACAAGCCATTTTCTAACAACCTTCTCCCCTCCTCTCCTTAGCTTTGTAACTAGGTTTATTGACTTTTAGTATCTTTGCCTCCTAACTACTCCAAATACTTTCCTCAAGAAAATATTCTCCCTTCTTCATGTCATCTACAACCCCTTCATATATTACCATTAATTATTATAAAAGCAATTTGTGAGAAAATTTTTATTTAAAAATTCCTTTATTTTAGGTCTCAATACAACAACAATAGCGACGAATGTGAAGAAGAAAAATACCTCTCAAAGTCCAAATTGTTCTGTCTCTGCAGCCTGGAACCCGTTCAGCATTTTATGAGACAAGTAGATTTGGTGTTTTATCAAAATCTAATTCAAGTTCTGGTGCCTGATGTTCTGAAACCAATACCTGCCACTTTGACTCAGAGTATACGAAATTTTGCTAAAAGTAAGTCCACGAAAATATCTAGAATTATTTTATTTTATGATCTAAAACGTTTAACCAATGTTCGTTTAAAAACTAAATAAATGCTTTAAATTTGGATCCATGGTCGTCTTAAATTCTTAAATTCTATAAATGTTTGTTTTAGATTTAGAAAATTGGCTAACGACAGCAATGGGAGGAGCACCACCATCTATGCTTCAAATCAAATTGACAGCAGTATCAGCATTTAGTTCCAGTTTAAGACGCTATACTTCACTGAATCATCTCGCTCAGGCAGCTAGAGCAGTCCTACATAATAGCAATCAAATTGGTGAGTAAAATGAAGTTAAATACTTGGTTATTTTTGTTAAAATAATTTTAAATAAATAAGGGGTGGAAATACATTTTAATCCTAATATTTATTATACTTACATTTAACTCTTACCTAATTTGTTCAATGTAAAATATCTACATTATGCCAAGCCAAATGATCAAAGCATTTACATTGATATCGTATAGTATCTAAACTAAACAAAAATTTGCAAATGACATTGTTATATTTAAAAATTAATTAGAACTATTCATAGTGTGCTTAAAAATTGAAATACTTTTGGCTTTCAACAGTATCATTGCTGTATTTTACCTAGGCTTATCATTTTAGTATTATTACTTTTATATCTTTTATTATTGCTAATTTAGAGTCTGAAGAAAAAATGTTTTAATGTCACTATCTCTTGCCTTTGTTTAATTTATGATTCTAGTTTATTGTTTGTCATAATGTGTGCTGATTTTTCCCTTAAATATAGCTCAATTTCTGGATTGCAAGAGAACCTTAATTCCTTTAGGCGGTCGTTTAAATAATTAAATTTAAAAAACAAAAAAAAAATGAAGAGGCCAATATTATAAGCAGATTCACCTTGTGGTCTGCGTTCTGGAATTCTTGAAGGGGCCCCCACACGTTTTCTTCTGGGAAAACGGAACACCGATGAACAAAATATTTCGATTTTTCAATACGGACACTTTAGCGGTTCATACGGTACTGCTAGTTAAAAATCCAAAAAGGTCCTTTACAAACGCACAGATGTGCGCCGACGCGAGTGATTCCCGAATATTGGCATCAAATAAATTAAACTGTTTTGATAAAAATATTAAGGGTCACTAGCATCCAATTAATTATGATAAATATCAACATAAAATAATTAATATAAATTAAGGAAAAAACGCGTAAATACCTAACAATGTGTATGATCATTAACTACATAATTTGTTTTAATCATGTTTCACTATATCCTCTATTGTTTCCAATAACGAAAAACTACTAGATTATTTTTTTTTACAAAAATCGAATTGCAAACATTCACGATGTGTTATCCACGTAATTGTCAAATTATTAAGAGAGAGTACGAGAAAGTCTTGTTACAAGGATTGTTTGTGGTTATGATTTGGAATTAAACGCACAAAAAGCTTTCAAAAATACATTAAGGAAGTATATTTGCATTCTTTGTGCCAGTTATTATCAGTTTAATGTATTTTTCCCATTGTAACTATCATAGTTGAATGTAATTTCAAGAAAGTACGGAATTTATTTTGAAGTGTGACAGCACTCTAAGTACTGATTGATTCATAAAACAAGCAGATATCATCCCCACTCAATTTAGCAAACGTCTCGCTCTTTCTAATATGGCAACCGCTGCGACAGCTGTCTGCCTAATATTAAACAAAATCTGAATGCTTGCAATAAGTAAGGGCTTCTCTGTATTTGTAACGTGTGGAGGATGGGTTAACACACGGCATTGAGGCCTTACTAGGCCCATTGTGCATCCTCCTACGTAGGTAGGTATCTCCTTGCTCGTGAGCCAGCCTACAGATTTAATGTATTTAACAACGTCGTCAAGAGGTGCTTCTCTTATATCGGCCGGTGTTAGCCAATTCTCGCCAAACATAAATCTTCTAATACGTGAGAGCTTCGGGCAATCCTAGAGGACATGCTCGATGATCTCATCTTCTTGTTTGCACCGCCTGCAGAGTGTGGATTCTGACAGCCCCATGATATGGAAATGCTTCCATACGGCAATGACCAGTGATCAGGCACAGATTCTGTCTACTCATAGTCAAGGATTTGTTTGCTGTTGTGTTGTCAGGATAACTTCTTGTTTCTTCTTTTTCTTAATTCATAATTAAGGGTTTAATTATTATTAATAAATGTTTTGGTCTAGTAGTTTTTCGTCGTTGATTGTTTCATATTTTAAAAGTCTACATATACAACTAATCCAGATTCGTCATATAAAACCATCCAAAAAAAATTGAAAACGATGGTTCTTTAAGTCTACGTAACTTCTTTAAAGAATTTGTTTGTCTAATTTATTTTCTAAAAGCTAAGCAAACAGTTTCTAAAATGAAAAGACATGAAGGGGTTAAAATTTTATGATTTAAAAACAATGGTTTACATAAAACTGACCTTACATAAATACCATGACGTAAATGAGAACCAAAGTAAAATATACATTCCTGGCGGCACTGAAGTTCCAATTTACAGAAATAGATCTAACTGCAAGACAACTTCTTGCATAGATTTTTAATATGGCTCTCGAATTTAAGTTTATGATCAATACAGAGCCCTAAAAGTAAACTACTGATATCATCTATCAAAATGTTTGATAGTATTACATTTAAAAGATACAATATTAAGTTTTTTCAATATTAAACAATAAACTGTTGGCTTCACATCACCTCATCCTGATCTTTACGATGTCCGTGCTAGTCTTAGCTTTCAAAACTGCGCTTTACTCATTAGTCTATATAATGGTAGTATCATCCACAAAAATAGTGAAAAATCCGTTAATATTAACATTGACTATGTCATTGAAATAAAGTGACAATAAAATGGGGCCTAGACTGATCCTTGCGGAACACCGCATTCTATCTTATCTTGACTGTTATAAGGGACATCTTAATATCTGCCAATTAAATAATCATATTTTTTCAATTTCCTTAACAAAATCTTGTGATTTACGCCCATCGTAAAAGACAGCCGTAGTCACATTGTCCTCAGTTATCTCCAAATAAAGCTTCTCTAGAAAAGCGAACATCGCATCCGTAGTACTTTTACTGCGCTGAAATCCAAATTGAACATTAGAAATTTGAGAATATTAAGAAAAATCAGAATTCTTTTCTTTAGTAGTTTTTTTTAATATTTTCGGTAACAAGGATATAGAACGGAAATTTGAAGGATATGTATTATCTCCTCATTTATAAAATAGTCTCCTGTTCGCTCAACATACTTATTCCAACAATATTGCAAATTAGCAGTGCCTTCATTGTAGGTAGATGAATCCATGTCTTCGAAATAACTATTTCCAGCAGTCATTACCTCGGAAAATCTCTTACCGCCGAGTCATTTTTGAGGGTTTGGAAACATGATAATCGCTGGGATCCAAATCTGGGGAATTTATGCGTTATCCTGATAAAAAAACACTTTCATTTTTAACAGCTGATGCTGTTTCTCTTGTTAGATTCTTGCAACAAATTGACATAATACTCGCCATTTATTATTTTCCCCTTTTATTAGCTCCGTGCATGACGGCAGCGCCAACTAAAATATGTATTAAAGGGTGATTTTGCGTTTATTGACAGTATCATTTTTTATAGAATTCGTAATTAAAAAATGTCTTTTTTGGTTTTAATAAAAGTATATTAATTTATAAAACAAGTGAAAAGATGTATTTATTATTATATATTTTTATTAGTTCAGTTAGAGAAATTAAAAGTAAGTATATTTAATAAAAAAATTAAACGTGCACATAATAGGTAATTAGGCAACAGAATTTGCGAGAAAGTGTATGAAAAGTTGCCTAATTAAGTTAAACGTTAATGTCAAACGTGGATTCAAAATTTATTCCTAAAAAAATAGTTGCAATATTATAATATTTTCAAATGTAGTTTATAATTTTATTTTCTTCATTTTTAGTTAAAAAGAAAACATAGAATTAATTATTAAATAACTGTTTTCCAGTCAGTCACAAAATTGCATTCCAGATACAGACAATAATCAAAGGCAGAAATATATCCTTTCTGAACATGTACTTATAGAACTTGTAACATAATAACAATTATTAAAGTATAATATAAAACCTTTCAGTTTTCTAATGTCTTTTATTTTCAATAGGTATTAGATACTCTTGTTGCAAAAATAAAGGTTTGTAATTTATTTTCCTTTCTTACTTCAATTATAGGTACATTTATTTCTTTGATTTAATTTCCATTTTGCTATTGAAAATTTATAAAATTTACAATTTACAACACCAACTCCGGTTGCTCATTGTATTGCTTTTAACTATTTTTTAAAAAATAAGTAAAATATATACGTATATTTGATACGCCAAAATAACAAAATATCGCCCTAAAATGCACGAATTATTCGTAGCTAGCGCTAGTATCGCTTTTGCCTCCCCTGCCATAATTTCGCACTAAGCAAATAAGTGGTTGGCTAAAATAATTCCATGAGAATCGTGGCACTGTAATTATTCAATAATAATCCTCAATTGGTACTTGAAATAATCCTTTTTTGACAACTGAACACTAACCGCCACAGAATCGAAATTGCACTATTACTGATCTTCACGGAAGCACGTTCCTCAGAAAATTGCGGGAAACACCTACTTATGTGATTCTGTCATAGGCCCGCCCATAGGTAAAATAATTACGCAAATGGTTGGTGACTTTAAAGGTACCATTTCGGAAGGCGCGACAGACGACAACAGACGCGACGGCAAATGCGACCAAGATCGGTCTCTTCACGTCTGAACACATGCAATAATTATATGAAACACATTTCACAAGGTGCGACAAGTCCGAGAGACAGAACTCGACGACAGGTTGGTCGGGGTATCGTTTGCTGTCTGTCTCCCTTAGTCATCGCTTGTATTTTGAGGTGATTAGTCGATATTTTATAGAAATGGTAGTTGCTTCTTTCAATCTAGGCAGTGTTGTCAGATGAACATTTGCTGAAACAGTATGGGTGAAAAAAAACCGTAGATCTGAACAGTAGATTTTAATACAGGGGGAAATATAATTTGCAGTGTAGTAAATAAAAATAAAACAAGTATATAAGAAACGAAAAATAAACATTTTTCTATCCAAATTAGAAAGTAAACAAATAATAAAAACAAATAACATTTTTAATATAATATACTTAACGTACGGAAACAAAAAAAAAAACAATGAAAAATAATATATATTTCTTTTATATCAGTCTGAATCAGATAATTCAAATACGTTGTGTTTGGCATGCATGTTCTTTTTATGATGCCCTATTAATTCTTTGTTGCATTTTAAATAAAAACAATGATTATCTTAAGTTTTTTTTTAATGGAGCAAACCTACAGTATTGGGTGCTTATTACGCTGCTTTTACTTCAGCAAATTTACTAGAGAAAATATTCTTTGACCATTTGCTGAAGAATGAAACAAACTTAATAAATTAACAACAAAATTTGTTCAGTTGGCGAAAACAGTAGATTTCATGCTTAAAACAGGAGAAAAGAGATAAAATCAGTGGATCTACTTTAAAACAGTAGGTCTGGCAACACTGTCACCTGTCTCCTTGCTTCCCAAATTTGTGAAGCGTAACGTTAATGCATCTGTCGTCTTTGCCGTCGCGTCTGTTGTCGTCTGTCGCGCCTTCCGACATGGTACCTTTAGAGTTTGTGAAATTTGCAATGGCTGTTACATATTTAAAATTTAAAGTTTTTCTTTTTAGGATACATAAAAATGGAATTCAATTAGAAAATAATGTATGTACTTTTTAGAAATCTAGGTGGGATGTATGTAGGGTGTGAAATATTAATAAGAGGCATTACAGAAGTAATTACGTCTAATTTTGTAGCTCAAACATCGAAAATAAAATCGGGCAGTAACCTCTCAAAATTATTTCACTCGAAATGAAATAAGACATAGTTTGGTCTTGACAAGCAAAATGATTTAGATTTTTGTGGTGTCTGAAATATTTCTGCTTAGTTAGGTATTTCATTCGGGTATAAACGAATTACGGAAATATGAGTAGTATAAGTAGTAGTTGTTCTCGTGAAAAAACGTAAACTATTCTCTGAACTTTAGGAGGCTTTAGGATTACTTCCTGACTGGCCATGAATGACAATTTAATATTGAAATTAAAATAACTTTACCTCAAGTACTTGTGTCGAAGTAAGAGTGATTCTACAGGTGCAATTGCAAAAAATGAGTGTTCTCAGATTCGGTAAATTGGGGTACATAGCGTTGCGGAGCTATAACTGGAATAAAAATTGGTTCGACACTACGGGGTCCTTTAACACTGTATAATAATTATTTTGCTTTTAAAATACATTTTTATTTTTTTTTTTGTTTCCAGGCCAAATGTTAGCTGACCTGAACCGCGTTGATTTCCATAGTGTCCGAGAACAAGCTTCATGGGTTTGTCAGTGTGATAACGATCTTGTGGCTCGCTTCGAAAACGATTTCAAACTTACTCTGCAACAGCAAAACTCCTTAGAGCAATGGGCTTCTTGGTTGAAGAACGTGGTCAAAAGTGCTTTGAAGCCTTACGAAGGAAAACCGAGCTTTTCTAAGGCTGCTAGACAATTTCTACTGAAATGGAGTTTCTATAGGTAAGTAATTTGTAGCTTGTTGTCGTCAGACGGGATTCGACGTTTACCACCTCTATATTCGAAGTACTGTTCGAGTCTACGTTATAATTAGTGGCCCAAATACTAAAAAAGTAGATTTTTTAAATTGGGATTTAGTTTCGAAGGAGTTAAATTGAAAGTGATGCCATCGTGAAGAGTATCAAACGAAAGTTGAACTAGATTTCAAAAATGTATAATACGTTCGTCTGCATTTAACATTTTCGAAAAATTAACTTAGAAATTATAGTTTTTCCAACTTATCTCCAAAAGTAAGGCTCGCAAAAAGTTTTAAAAAATCGCGAAAATTGATAATAAGGTGTAGATTGAAAAAGTTATCAAAATTACATTCCATTAGCTAATTTTAGAAAAAAAATACGCTCTACTGTATCGATACTTTATAGCAACAAGTGGCATAAATCTATCAACTAGTACAACTTGAACTTGGCCAAATTTTATTTATGACTTAAATTTCATATAAACATGTGTTCCAAATATTTTTTTTAAATATACAGAATGTTATTTTTTTTTTTAAATTTGCATTCTGGGAAGCCTTTGACTTACTAATTTTAATTTAATCAGGTTTAAATTATTATTCTCGTACAAAAAATGCGGTAAACTCAGTTTAGCTAACAGTAGTTTAATTTTTAACTGGTTATATTCAAAGTACAATGTCAATTTTAAAACTATGTTTAACAATAACCGATGATTATACCATTAGGTTCATAGTTTAATCCAGGATGACATTTTAACTGACTATTGTACAACCCTCCCCTTAGTACTACAAACTAACCTGCCAAGTTTAATCAAAATCGTCAAAATAATTTGGAGCCTTAAGGCAAAACATTTTTTTTTAGTCAACATTCCGTATTTAATCAAAATTACTTTTAAACATGAAGATTCAAGAAGAATCAAAATATACTTCAATTATGTTTTAGTTCTATGGTGATTAGAGATTTGACGCTGCGATCTGCAGCGAGTTTTGGAAGTTTTCATCTCATCAGGCTACTATACGATGAATATATGTTCTATTTAATTGAGCACCAAGTCGCCGAAGCTACTGGTGTCGTACCTATTGCCGTCATTTTAGAAGGAATTGTAAGTGAAACAAGCAACAACTCGTAATTTTTTGTTTTAATTTATTTTTTCTACGTTCATGCAAAGTGCAATAAAAATTTTATTGCACTCATCTGTCATTTTACTACAGCGTTGTATGATCATGAAAAACATAAATATTCAAATCAACGCCAAATATTTAGTTCATTTTCATTTTCCGTGTTACATTTTAAAAACAATTGCATATTTTATATTATTTTCAATCATTTAATAAATAAATTAATAAAAACATGTATTTTATTAAAAATGTCATTACAAATTATGAACACAAACGTAAATAAATGTCTCAAACAAAGGTACACGATCACGGCTACTATGATTTGGATAATACTGCAGTTCTATAAAACATTTTTTTGTTATTGCATGAACGTAGAAAAAATATTGTATGCAAATTGCACGCGACGTGCAATTTCACGTCGCGTGCAATAAACACTTACTTTTTGCACTTGTTGCATAAATAACTATTTGTTTGTTTTTCAGAAGCAAGACATTTTAGAGAACAGCTTGAGCGTCTACGGAAACGACAGCTTTTCTTCATCAAAACTGACTTGCGTCAGTCCTACAGAGCCCCTATCAAAACGTCCTAAAATTAGCTAGCTTAAAAGCAAAACTAGAGTTGTTGTTTCGCCATTTCATTGACACACATTATAATAGTTAGGTTGTTCACTTAAAAATAATTTCGTTGAACAAGCATAATATATTTTTAATTTTTTTAATTTTCGGGTATGTTGGGACCATTTTTGTCATTTTTGTTTGGTCACTGTCATTTAAGTTTTGAAGTATTCAGTAGTTTTGGCCAATTAAAATGAGTTCTTACATAATTTGAAGTCATCGTAAATATTCATTTATTAGAAAATTATCTAATAGAAATTACTGCCAATTTCAAAATACATTTATGACGAGTGTTAAATTGTAAGCATGATAAGAACCATGCCTATGTTACTAGGAGTTTTAGTTACTTTCTCTTCTAGTGTCAGCCTGTTGCATTTAAATAATTCTTCAAATTTTCTTTTAAATTTAATTTCATAGTTCTGTTTTTTAGGAAATATTTTAAAATAGTCCTTAAATTAATAATTGTTGAATGATTTGCAAACCTGATTCTGTTGATAAAATGGGCGATCGCAAGTTTTTTAAAAATTTCGTTATCAGAAGTAACGAATGGTATCGGGGCTATAATCACACAAGCTAATCTCAAAAATTAATTTGTCAATAATTATCATTTGACAGCATGTTAAGTGATTAATTCATGTGATTATCCATAATTCCGATACTAAAAGTTGTATTCAATAGATTATATCACGAATTAATAAAATATGACAGATCAATAATAATTTACAGTTACCTACTCTAATAAAAGGAATGACATAACATAATAAGCTTGCCTACTAGATATTTATAGCATTTATTGAAATGGAAATGGTTGATATTATATAGTAAAGAACTAAATTATAACGAATACCAATTCGTTAATTTGTTATTTTCGTTTATTTCTTTGTTCTCCAGCCGTCCTCTGAAGTATTTTTATTATTGTTGTTTTATAGATCTTACTTTCAGTTTTAATATATTAATTTGGGCATGCTGTGTCGTCTTAGCACGCAGATATTCTTATTGCTTGGTTGTTTGTTATGGCTTCTTTTCGTAGCCTTTCATTCTACGCTGATCCCTAACAATATCAAATTCTTCGGTTTTGTGAAGGATCTGGCATCTCGGATTTGGTCCGTCATTATCAACACCCAGTAGTTGCAGGATTTCATCCGTGAGGAATTTGAGGAACATCACCAGTTAACTGTTTAGCAAGCCGGGGGGGGGGGGGGCGGTTTATTCTCCAAGCAGCGTTTTTGACAGCACCTGAAAAACAACTGATAAAAGTGTAAAGCACGAATATTTTGGTATTCTGTACTTGCTGTGCAGTCTGTATTTGAAAAACGTAAAGCGCTTTCAAAAAAGTTAAACATGAGTAGCGTTTTGCTGTTCGTATTTCGTTCGTTTTGACATTTAATGCTAAGATTTGTAAACGTAGATAAATGGACCTAATTATTATGAGTTGAATATTAAAATGTCAGCAAATGTATGCTGTTTATTATGGTTTTGATTTGTTATAATTTTGGAATTGGCCTCAATATATTCTAATAGTTTCTTTTTGGGCCCTATCCAGTTGCTTTTAAACTATCGCGTTCATGTTTAATGATTAATGAATTATAGTATCAAAATGACATTCAAATCCTAACCTTAGTTATTCAGACCAAACAGCATTTGCGATTTATAATTATTATGATTGCTTACGACAAAAATGAAAATCGTTTAGCATTAGAGAATACCCTAATCACATGTTTGTCGTATGATCAAACTTTGTTGAGAAGTCCGCTTGGCGCTTTTGTTGCTATTCTTTTTCGACTGAAAGTTGGAGAATAACCCCCAGATTTATTAAATAAATCCACCGCTGTATTGGGATTTGACATATCGTCCATGATAAATTGTTAAAAAAATGGGGCCAAAAGAGTCTGTGTTTCAGATACCATTGGTATTGGATCGGTGAGTTTTTCTTATTTTTGTCTGAATTTGGTTAGCCGCATATAATCGCTAGTCTTAAATTTTGTATGGGATTTACCTCTTTAAAAAAAGAAGCGGGGAATTTACTTTAGTCTGACATAATCAAACGCCTATTCTAAATCGTTTTTACTCAATCGATTTCTCTTAAACATAAATAAATACTGTCAGTTTATTTCGAAAGAATTAAAATTGTTATGAGAATTTGACTGTCATAAGCCGAGAGGGAAACACCAAACGACTCTTTCAGTAAAGTATTTGAACATACAGGTTAAGAAAAATAAATAATATGTATTCAGATACATCTTTCTCTCGAATTTGAAAATAAATACCAGGGGTGGTATCTTGTACTTGCTGAGAATGTTCTGTAACATGCTTTTTAGTTATATGAGAATTTGTTCACCATATTTAATTCTCACTTGTAAATCCGCTTTGTCCCTTTTTTTCCTATTCTTTATTCTTTAATTAATTGTTTAAGGACTGTCTGAACTGGTCACTATTTTAGTTTGTAGGCCTAGGTTGTTGCAAGATATTTCCGTTTATATGCCGAGACGTATTTAAGGGCTACTTTAGAATATTTTTTTCAAAATAGTGAAGGACGAAATTAAATTATATTTAATCACGTTAAAGGTAATTACGTTCATTTAAATGATTATTCTTTTTTAATTTTGTACAATTTATTAAATAGCTCATTGGATTTCAGAGACTATTGGTTGTAAACATACTTAGAAGATGTAGGAATTTTTAGATGTTATCATTATTGTGCAATCGCGGTTACTACTAGATTAAATAATATGTAAGTGCCGTCAAACATTTGTGTGACAAATAATAGGTGTATATAAACGTATGATATATATTTTTTGGCACTAGGTGAATTTTTTGATCTGAATTTGATCAAAAAATACTATTTATTTTTATTTATTTTCAGATTATAAATCAATCGACTGATATTTGTTTGTTGCTGTTCAGAATATATTTGTTTGTTTTTTTTTCTCTTAGTTGATTGGTATGCATTATGACATTAAAATAGTTAATTTTTCTTTTTGTTTTGGTGCATTTCATTATTATATATTTTTATATTGTACTTATTAAGTATATATGGGCAAAACGGATGATTTGTGGCAACTATTAAAATATCATTTAAATTGTTAACTTTTTATTATCAAAATTTGAAGGATGAAAAAGATGCCTTATTAACACTAGCGTTTTTATCATAACAAAATAAAACAATTTATTATACATTTTAATGTTGCCACAATCTGTAGATAAGTTTATTGCTCAAAAGTGTAATCCATCCATTATAATTATATAGATAGAGTAATACATAAAACAGAATCGCAGGGTACATAATATTCCTCTTAACCAGTACAAGTAAGTAATTTTGAATATATAACCATTCTTTTTGTTTAATAAAAGGTACCATTCACATTTGTTTGGTAACAGTTTTTATAAATCTACAAGTAAAAATATTTACTCTTTAGTAGTGCCTTTATAAAAAGCTTTCTTACAAAATCTGCTTTTCACTATGCAAGTTTGTTGCAAGTTTCATGCTATGCAATTGTACTATATCGCAGTAGAATCCATTTTACACCGTGCAAGTTTGTAAGTATATTCCTGCCAACCAGAATATTTAGACGTTAGTGAAATCTAAAATGTTTATTTCAATTCGGGTCTCGTATTGATTTATTTTTTTCGTAATGGCTCCTCAAATCAAATGGGAATATTATTAGCTTTTTTCGCGGGCGCGGAGCATGTCGTTGACAAGTACACGACAGATAAGCAAGTGCATTCCAAATTTTAAAGATTCGTGGAGCCGACAATCAGGCAAAAATGGAACACCACAAGTTACCAACAGGTTAAAACAATCATGATCAATAGCATGTGTCTCAAAAGAGAAAAAGTACGAAACAAAGACGAATACTTGCTTAGTTTTTAATTATACTGACTGTTCCAATAAATTATAAAAATTGAATGTCCAGAATGCTAAACGCAGACAAAATAGTATTTTTCTGTTTTGACAGTGGCCTCACCAGAAATTAATTAAATGAACAATGTCTTGGTATTTAACAAATATTATTTTTAAAATTTTTATTACACAGATTTAAAATAAGTAAAATCTTAATAATTGTTTTAGGTTTGTTAACAATGCATTTTCAATTTTGTTAAGTAATAATGTTAACAAAAAGCTAATAAAAAACATAGATTGCATATATTTCTTTCTGGATACTTCAGAGGCAATCTAAAACAGACAATAATGAGAAGATGTAAATAAATTCTGTGAAAATAAACCCTATTTTTTTATTAGGTCCATTAAAATTAGTCATTGTGTACAATGTCACTGCCATTAAATTATATTGAATTATTATTGAAGATTTTGCGATATATTTTGCATTTGAAGGTTTTAGTGAATGAAAATATCAACTGTTTACTCTCAAATTTTGATAAATGATTCTTTAGATTGTTATGATCAACCTTGGCATGATTCAACGAAGAACGACTACGAGACTAATTTCGTTAACAAAAATCTAATTGTAAACATTCACGGTGTCACCCACGTAGTTGTCAAATTATTATGAAAGAGTATGGAAGAGTCTTGTTACAAGGAATGTTTATGGTTATAATTCGGTATTGATTAAAAGTAAGGCTCTAAAGCGCACAAAGGGCTTTTAAAATTACATTAGGAAAGTATATTTGCATTCTTAATGCTAGTTATTATCACTTTAATTTATTTTTCCCGTTGCAACTATTTATAGTTGTATAGTATGCAATTACTTTTGAAGTGTGACAACAGTGTAAAGCAAGCATAGTAGACGTAAATACTGATTCATTCAAAAAACGCCTGCTCGCTCCTCAGATAAACATACTCGCACAAAGTTTTATCAAACATGCCTATTGGCATGTGCCATGAATACAAATTATTTGCAGCAAACTTGCATAGTTATAAAACTTGCGCCGTGAAAAGCGACCTAACAGTTTCTAAATTTTAAACTTTATATTATCTGATGCAAATATTTGAGTTGACAAGCCAACTATTCCATTTTAATATGCTACGAAATGTGTAACACTTGTAACTCATCAAAAGCAACACTTTTTGTTAAATATTATTTTTTGAACACCTTAATTCTCAAGACAATTTTTTTTTTAATATATATTTGTAAGTTTTTTGTTACCCACCACTGAAGTATAAGTTAAAACACCTGGTAGTGAATGATAATAGTACAGAATACGAAGTAAGGTCAACCTTCACCCTTCTGTTTAATGGATAAAGGGTATTTTTTTTATTAAGTATAATATAGAGGGCGTCATATCAGAAGGGCGTAAGAGCCAGCATTGTTTTTAGGATTTTCGGGCCTATGGGTTTATTTAATCAATCTCCTTGATATATCAGAAGGGCGTATGGTTTAATAAATATTAACATCCTATTCTAAATAGTTTTACTTTGTAGTATGAACCAATTTTGCAAAATTATAATATTAGAAAGGCATGTGCTCATACGCCCTGAAAAAGTTACCTGTTGGTTCATACGCCCTTCTGATATGACGCCTTAGATATGTTAATAAATATACCGCAAATAGGTTGCCTATAAAAATACTGTAAAGGCTATTTTTTACTTTACTATACAGATAAGGAAAGTATAGGAATCATGATAAAAGTTGCTTGTGTTGTCATTCTCTATAAGTGCAATTTCGAATTTTGAAGATAATTCAAAAACGGATAAAAACACCAAATTTTAAAATTAACCTTTAATCCATCGTGCGGTGAGCTGATTAAATTTTGGGCATAGTCGAAGCATCTGGGGGATACTTTATAGTCTGTCGTTTTTTTTTTTACTTTAAGAAAATAAATAGTCTTATGCAACATATTAACATATTTTATTTAATAAAAAATACCTTCCATTCATTAAGTAGGTGAGTGAATGTCGACCTTACTTCGTATCTTAGACTATTAGCAAAAACAAGCCACAGCTGCAAAGGGTTGAAAAAATGGAAAAGGATCCGAAAAACCGAGTTGGAGCTGAATCTTTTTTTAATTATTTGAACGCTGAATGAACATTGCTTCGCTGGTCTAATGATTATGAGGATGTAACTATACTCCATAGGTTGTGGGTTCAAATCAAACACGAGCTGAATTTTTCTAAATTCAATTTTCCAATTGGTTTGTTTTAACGCCTCAAGGTTAAGGAATTTATAAAAAAACTCATGCGTATTTCCAATCGCTTCAATTTTTACTCTAGTGAAGGGTAACGGAAAAAATAATTAGAAAGTAAAAAAAAATCAAAGTATTTGATAATTATTGTAGCAT